AAAATATTTAAGTGGGAGGTAATGAGATACATTGTTTAGTTTATTATCATATTATCATGAAATTTCATTTTGTTTGATACTGTTATTAAAGAATTGTATTTTCTTTAACTTAATTGACAGAGTAAAATGGAAGTTTTCAAGAGATTCCTATAAATTAGGTAATGAACTTTCATAATTAACAAAAGTTTATGAAATTTGAAGGCAAGAGGGAAAACAGCAAACATATGTATTCTTTATACTGCCTTGTCCTCTGTGTTGCTTTATTTTCTCACATAAAGGCAAATGTTCAGTCCTGAGATTATTTTAGCTCTATTATTATAGCAGCAGTAGCAGCAGCAGCTCCTCACAGAAAGGCCAGATACCTCTGAAAATATATTAGAGGTTGGGAGGTGGGAGAAGATCATAGGGTGAGTGGCTTTTTCTCTTCTTTTTAAAAGAGTCCAGGAATTTGTCTCAGCTATTGAGTTGAAAATTTGAATATTCAAATAAATAGTATAAGAATGCTTAGTTTTCACCTTTAGATTTTATATTTGTCAGTTTCTAAATTTCCTTTGACAAGGATTTTGACTACCTTTGTATACTACTTATCTGTGTGTAAAACTGCCTTTTTAAAGCTATGTATACAGAGAAGTGCACATACTAAAAATAGATGGCTCAGTGAATTTCCTAGAAACCAAATACACCCATGTAACCAGACCCCAGATAAAGAAAAGAACATTATATATGGTTTTTGTATTGTATAGATTTGTACAATAGAATTTTTTTATGTCTGGTTTCCTTTACTCAGCATTATGTCTTGAGATTCATCTACATTGTTCCATGTAGTTGTGGTTGGTTCATTTTCATTGCTCCATTTGACCATATCACAACTATATTTTTTTATCAATTCTGTTAGTAGACATTTGAGTGGTTTTCCATATAACATTACTATACACATCTAATACATATTTCTTGATTAATATGTTTGCATATTTCTTTTGTGGATGTCTATCAGTAGAGTAGTGGTTAAATGAACTATGGCATATCTATACAATGAAATACTCTACAGCTGTAAAAAAGAAGAGATGTTCTCTACATATGTTATATTTGAAAATTATTTTTAGAATCTTTTTAATTATTTTGATTTTAAGTAGGATTTTTTGTTAGCATCCATTTGTGTATAAGTTATGAACATTCATAAGGCTTTCAGTGATAATTTTTATTTAGAAATATTTTAGATATATGTTCTGATTATGTGCTATTACATTGCAGAAGAATGTTTTAATATGCTCTGGTATTTTAGTTTTTATCTTGTCACTAATGGATATTATAAACTTCAGGATTATTGTATTATTTAATTTTGCATTTATATTTCATGATGAGAGTAATTGCCTATTTAAAGATGTATTTTGTCTCTGATCATAGTGCTGAAATTAAAAAAAGGCAATTGTACTTGACTCTTAACTAAGCACTTAGATATTTTTCACTTGTCATTACATTTTTTAGTTTAAAGCATCAAATTAAATATTATTTTATCCTGGCTTTTATTTTAATTCATGCATTTAAAAACTGAAATTTAGATAAAAGATAGTTTCAAAATAAATTCAGTATATTATTTATGAGTGGAGCAACACATTAGCATTGGGTTCACAATAGATCATATCGCTTTTATTCCATCTTACAAGCTTAGCAGCACAAACAGAATAATCAACATATTATTTGGCTGTCATCTGCTGAACAGAAACCAGAGATCACAAGGAGGTTTTCCCTAGCTGTGGTGATGGCCTTTTTGTTCCAAGCCCCCATCTGGGAGGGCCATGGTGTGTTATCATATGGAACGCGGGGTTTTCTGTAATCTGCTTAGCTGCACTGCAGTTTGAATCTTCATTCCATGTTTGTGTAATTTATAATTTTAATGAGACCATGGCTCTTGTGGGCTTTGAAATATATTAAAAGCTCTTTTGTGCATATGCTTTTGTTCTTGCTTAATAGGCTCAGTGTATTTAAAACTGATGAATTTTTATTCATGAATTTGGATGTCTGGGGATTAACTTAGACTGAATATCATTACACTCATATATTGATGCTTGGAAAGTTTTTTTATTGTTATTATTTTTTTTATGTGTGTCTCTGTGTCTGTGTGTCTGTGTGATACTTGCTACCAGAAAAGGAAAGAACTTACATAATTTTTAAAAGGCTAGGAAAAAGTGAAATGGCTAGATCAGAAAGAATTGATTTAGATTTTATCCATCTTATTGATACTCATATTTCATCATTAGTCTTAGTATTTTTAGATAAATATTATAAAGTAATAATGCAAAAACAACTTTTAAGTGAGTTAATACCTCACATATTACTGTTTATATTGAATTAATATTCCAGTGTGACAAAGATAGACTTTGTATTTTAATTGTAGGACATCAATTGTTGGGTCATACTAAATCTGCCTTTAACTTTCTTGACTAAATTAGGTATATGTTTTATATTTTAACTATTTATAGTCTTCCTTATTTCTGTAAAACCCTTTTTATTAATGGATTTTTTAAACTACAGTGATGAATATGATGAAAAGACTAATGGAAAAGCAGATTTCTAATAATTTATGAAATTGACCTTTTTTATTTTGCTAAACTAATGAAATATATTAAATGCTTCAAATCTCTATAGTTATTACTTCTAGTGTATTTTTAAATTTTGAATATAATTATATAGCACCTTAGAAAAAAATCATGGCCCTTTCTAGATCCGGACATATTTTCTGAAGTTGCTGTCTATTGGATTCAATTAGTGGTGACATATAGACCTAACTAGTCCTTTTATGAAGTTGCCCAAGATGTATTTTTTGTACAATTCTATGTTTAATCGACTAAAGCATTTTGTAACTATAAAACATCATTCTTTTTTGATATATGATGGTCAGCTGTTTGGTTGGTCCCTTCTTCTCCCCCATTACCTTTAAGCTAGAAATAAGAAATACAGGCTGAAATGACAGCATTTTGTTCTTGTCTTAGCTTATCTATCAGACTTGACATTGGAATGTTTGTTTTTCCAAAATAATCGCCTGCTTTTGTATTTTTTATTAGTTGTGCAATTTCATTTAGCTTAGGAATTTATTATTGAAAATGTATGATTTTCTAATGCAGTGCTGTCCAATAGAAATATAATGCAAGTCATTTATGTATTTTATTTAATCCATTATATCCAAAATCTTATCTTTCAACATGTAATCAATATAAAATATTTTAGTATTTTTTGTACTATGTCTTCAAAGTCCAGTGTATATTTTATACTCACATCTCAATTTGGACTAGTCACATTTCACATGCTCAGTAGCCATGTGTAGCTAATGGCTACCTTATTGAACAGGGTAGCTCTAAAGTGTAATTGAAATTACACAAGGTGTTTTTTTATAGCTCGTGGGACTGATTCTTTTGGCATATATCTGCCTGATTAATACACAAAATCATAATTATGTCACCTGACTCCTGAGTACTTATCAGATATTGTATAGATATGCTTAAATATATTGTGATGATAAGGAAATAATGGCTAATGTATTGGATGTAGTATACTCCTCAATAGTTGTGGGCAAATCAAACTTGTCAAACATATTTCAAGTATACCAAGAAGCTTAGTTTTATAAGAATCCCATGGCAAATATTAATACTTTTTTTTTAAATAGAAAACTCCTCATTCTTAGAATTTTTCTGCATAGGTATTTTTGTGAAAGTATATCTCTCTTTTCGTATAAGTTTGCTTAGAGCTTATATAGCTTTAAACTTGTTGGAAGAAAAAAATGTAAAATTCTCTAGGATTCTATACATTTGAAATGCTCTGTATATATTCAAATATAAGGAGAGGGAACTTCATTAAGTAACATGTAGTTAAGAACTATAAAACCTTGAATTACAATTGATTTGAATTGATTCAAATATTTTAAAGTATAAATGATCAAGGTGATGGGTATAAAATACTGCTACTGCACCCACTTTAAAAAAAGTAGAGACTTTATGTGTAATTGACCTTGCTCAAGTATGGTTTTGAGAGAAAATCATGAAATCTCTGAATTTTTCACATTTTGAAAATTTTAACACTTTAAAATTTTGAGGGAAATGAGCTGATTTTTATGTAATCTAACTTTTCTGTAGATATTGCATGATGCCTGTTGTATTCTTTTACTCAAATTTTTATTGACTTCTCTGTGACTTCTGCATTTAAAGTGTTGACACAAAATGTTAAACTATTCTTTAAACAATACGTCTAGTTTCTTGGAGATGATAAATCCATCCATTGATTTCCTAATTTTATTATGTACACAGTCAATTGTAATCCAAGATTACAGCAAACAAGATGTTAATTTCGAGCCATAATCTATGTACATTTCAATTACAGAGCATGATTGTTATAGAAGCACAGAATAAAAAGGAATAACATTTGTGCTATCCTCACAGGAGCTGTCAATAAAAGATGTAATAGGGGATTTAGGAATCTGGAAATGGCCAACTAATTTATGTGAATCTATTTTATTTCAGCTAGAAAGACCAAGCTCTTTTTCGTCTGCACTGCATATTGCAGAGCACAGGCTGTCTATAGAAAACCAGGCGGCTGCATATGGATAGTCCCTTGATATCATTCACTTGCTGTGTAATCTTATTATGCAAAGTTCTAATCTTCACCTAGAATGAATGCCTGTGGGTCAGAATATAGTCATATCAGGGTTTTTGAGGTCATGTTTTGTGATCCTTAGCTTATTCTTCTAAGTAGAGCTGGGATTTAAAGGGTATTCCCCAGACGCTAGCAGAGATACACAGCAGAACCTGCTGCCTTTTTGGAAGACAAGACCAACATGAGGTCCCTGGTAGGATTAAACTTGATTTGTAGCTGTAGGATTTTTTAACAGATGTATTATTGGACAGGGAATAGGGGGCCACCAGCACAGCAAAATTGAATCACGACTGGCATTCTCAGGGAGTTTGCTGCCTGCTAAAACAGCAGCTGCATGTGGATTTGACTTCTTTCAGGTGAAGCGACTTCCAGTCATTTGGAAAGGATGGGATGAAAAGGAACCTTGGTGATAATTTTGATGTCTGCAAGATTTAGTACCAGTGTAATGGGATTATCGGTAACACCTTCACTGCAGAAAAAGCCACCTGGCGCTATAACTGGCAGCAACTGAGAACTAATCCTTTCCCATCTCTTGGATGTCATTCATGAAGCTCAAAGCGATTTCTGCCCTGCTAACTGTGATTAATTTTATAAACAACAACAACAAAAAATCAGGTGATCAAGGCAAAGAATATGCTTTTTATTAATTATTTTTAATATGTAGCCTTATTATAAGCTATATGACTTATAAATTATGTAAGACATACATAAACTATATGTATAACTTAAAATTTAAAATGTTCAAATTAAAAATTTGATTATTAATGTCTTATACTTTTTCGAGTTGAGTGACAATGTATTTGCTATTGTTAAAGATTTATATTTGAGATTAAATATTAATTTAAATACTTTAGTTTTCTTTTGGCTATAAGGCCATTATCAATAAATTAATCAAAATATCTGTAGGTATAAGGAATTGGAATAACTTGTTTTGTCATACATTTTACCTGTTTCCGACTGCTTTGATTCCTGATTAAATGTTTTTAGTGAGTAAAATCTTTAATGATATAAAAATATATAGACATATTTTTATGGGAATTTACATATTATATGGGAATTAAGCAGGATAATTAAGGTAATGCTAGCTCAAACTGATGAACTTTTTGTGAAAGTGTATGATCTTAATATATAAAAATCCTTAAAATAGTTAATATTAATACTGAATGACATTTTTTAAAATCAGAAATTCTTAGTGAAAGTTTTCCTTTAGCAAGTAGAGGTTTGTTATTTGCTCTAGAATCATGTATTAGCTAATTGAGGTTTTTTTTAAGTGTTTTATTTAAAATAAAAACTTTATCAAGTACTTTGTTTAGAGGTGTTAATTATTTTAATATTCTTCTCCTACATGGTCCAGAATAAACTGAAAGAAAATGAAGTGAAATTATCCCATCAGTCACCCAAACAGTATACAACATAACTGCCAAGAGTAGAAAAGATAATTAGTGTTGTCAGTGTTATGATCCTAGAGTACTTACTTTTAAAATATTTATTCATAGAACTTGATTTTTATCTTGTTGTTGTTTTTGATTTAGTAGCTTTATATTTAAAAAATAGATTATAAAACCTTACTCTTAATGTTTTTATACTTTAAATTTTAACTAAATATAGGCAAATAAAATAATTTTTGCAATTATAAGAATTATTAAAATATAATCATCCAGTATATACAATGCATTGATTTACTTGTAGCCTCTGTTTACATATAGTACATTTTATTCTTTTTCATAGGAGATCTTTATCAGAAAAATCAATAAATATAAGAAATTTATGTAGAGATCTTTGGCCAAACTACCTGGCAAACTTGTCATTGTTAGTGGATTTTGTTTTAACTCGTTCCAAGCTATTGTATTCCAAAATGTGTTTCTTCATTGTTGTCATATTTTAAGTGAATGGGTGAGAAAGCCTAACAGTATTTTTACTGAACTGTATTATGTTAGTTTATAAAGGACTTCTTGAGCCTTCTGTTTGTATCTTTACTAGTTGAAAAAGTGTTCATTTAAAAATATACTATCACAGTGAAAAGATCTATCCATGAAATGAGCAAACTAAATTCTTTTTCATATCCTTATAGTATAGTCACTTATATTTTAAATATAAAACTTTTGGTTTATATGTAATTTCAGATTATTTTGCCAGATAGTGTATTTTCTCAGGGTAACGTTTTATGGTAGTTAATGGTATTTTATAGTTATTTTTTTAAAGTAGCTTTCCTTTCAAAACAAAATTTGTCTCAAAGCTTTTATTAAACATAGTCAATATTTTCTGCTTTTTACTCAGCTGTTTACTAAATGGCTCTTGAGAGTATTTTTTCCTTTTCCATCCTAGGCATTCTTATTTGATTAGAGATGGTTATTTCCTTTGGAAAGCCCCAAATAAACTCATCTTAATTGAAAGGTCTTCACAGTGATACGCATTGTTTTCAGTTGGATTCAAGATCACCCAAATTTAATACCTTCTTGGTAACTTATGAGAAATTTGACTCATCTTTGAAAGCTACAAATACTAAATTTATTGGCACAGGTGACGAATGATGTCATAAAAGTTAAGGAAGGTGATTTTAGAGATAAGAGAAAGGGAGATAGACTGAGAGAAATGATAAGAAATTTTTAAAAAGGAGTAAGTCAGGTGTAACAAAAGCAGGATGGGAATCATAGGAATTCTTGATTATTTAAGAGATTCTGAGCTTTTTTTTTTTCTTTTTTGACAATTTATGAGACTTGGTGTCTCTCTAAAGGACCATACATGAACTGTAGACTGGCACAGTGACAGCTAGCCTATGATAAAGCTAAATGATATTTTTCCATCTGAATGAATACCCTTCAGCTATTGCACATACAACTTGTGTATTCTGAAATAGATGGATTTTATATAGTCATTGGGGGATTATTAGTGGATGAATGGGATGGTTTTGGTATTTCACTCTTTGGAAGCTGTTATTTGTCTGAAAAGTGTTAACTGCTTATAATTTATAAGTATAAAATGAGTTTTAGTATTTGGATATATATAAAAAGTGAACTTCAGAAAATAACACTGGATTTTTAAAAATCCTTGAAGTGTTAGCATGATAAAGTTTGATGATGAAATCGAGAGTTCTCCCAAAGTTAACATTCAGTTTAAAAACAATGGTTAAATTTTGTCAAATTTCTGAAAATGTCGAGCATGTCTCAGTGGTCCCAAATGACAGCACAAAGTCCTTTATGGGGCTTCCTTCCTGGAAGCTTATTAAAACTATAGATTCTGTAGGCTTGCTCCCACAAATTCTCATTCATTAGCTCTATGATGGGAGCCTGGGAATTTGGATTTTGAATTAGGTTCTCAGTTTTTTGTTGCTGCACTCATATTTAAAGCAGTGAATACTTTAAACCTTAAAGTTAGGGCAATTATTTCCTCTGGAGTGCATAAAAAAAAATAGGTTTAAATAAAATCTTACAGGTTATGGGGATCAGAACTCCTTAATTTGTAGTTCTAGAAAAATACCCTCTGCACAAGTCTTACAGTAGATTTAACATTATAGATTTGAACAATTCATGAGCAGCCCTGAAGGTGATTTTGAAATGGCAGGAATTTGAATTACTTGGATGGAGAGGCTGCTGTGTGAGAGTGAATTATTTAGCTCTTGAGCAGAGTACACCACTCAGCATCCATGTCTTAATAAGTCTGTTCTCTTCTTGTCACTTCCATGCAGATTCTGAAATGGACATATATCTTTCAGTTATTTTATATATAATCATTATATGGGGGGAAAAAGTAGCTTGTGTAGATATTCTTGAATTTGAGAAATCACAGGAAGTCTCAGGAATGTCATTCTTACCCAAATGAGGATAAATGTAGTAAAACTGTAATGTCAGGATTTTTCTTCTTCACATCTACTTCTCTCTCTATTCCCCTTTTATTAATGTGAACATTTCTTTAAATGCTAATGTGTTTACTAACTGTTCTTATCAAAACAAAAAGAGGTTATGATTTTAATCACTTTGGCTGCTTATACTTTAAAATGAATGAATTTCTGTAAATTGGTAGTCTCAATTAACACTGATATTTTACTTTTTTCCCTGAAAAGATGCATATATCTTTTCGAATTAGTGTTTTTGTTTCCTTTGCATAAATATCCAGAAGTGGAATTACTGGTTTGTATGGTATTTCTATTTTTATTTTTTTGATGACCCTCCATACTGTTTTCCATAGTTGCTGCACCAGTTTACATTCCCACCAACAGTGTATAAGGGCTTCCTTTTCTCTACATCCTGGCGAACATTTGTTCTTATCTTTTTGATAAAGCCATTCTGACTAGTGTCAGGTGATATCTCATGGTTTTGATTTGCATTTCCCTGATGATTAGTAATGTTGAGCATTTTGTCATGTGTCTGTTGACCATCTGTATGTCTTCTTTGGAAAAATGTCTACTCAGGTCCTCTGTCTATTTTTTAATTGGATTATTTATGGGATTTTTTTATTTTTTGGTGTTGAGTTATATGAGTTCTTTATATATTTTGGATATTAATCCTTTTTCAGATATATTATTTGCAAATTATCTTCTCCCATTTAGTATATTGCCTTTTCATTTTGTTGATGGTTTTCCTTAACTGTGTTTCCCTTGCCTGAGGAGACAGATCCAGAAAATATTGTTAAGACTGATATCCAGGGGATTGGTGCCTATGTTTTTTTTTTTTAATTCTATTTTATTATGTTATGTTAGTCACCATTCATTACATCATTAGTTTTTGATATAGTGTTCCATGATTCATTGTTTGCGTATAACACCCAGTGCTCCATTCAATATGTGCCCTCCTTAATAACCGACACCAGGCTAATCCATCCCCCCACCTCCCTACCCTCTAAACCCTCAGTTTGTTTCTCAGAGTCCATAGTGTCTCATGGTTCATCTCCCCCTCCGATTTCCCCCCCTTCATTTTTCCCTTCCTACTATCTTTTTTTTTTTAAACATATAATGTATTATTTGCTGCCTATGTTTTCTTTTAGGACTTTTGGTTTCAGGTCATAAATTTAGGCCTTTAATCCCTTTTGAGTTTATTTTTGTGTATGGTGTAAGAAAGTGGCCCAGTTTTGTTCTCTTGCATGTAGCTATCCAGTTTTCCCAGCACCATTTATTGAAGAGACTGTCTTTCCCCCACTGTATATTCTTGCTTCCTTTGTCATAGATTGATTGACCATGTAAGTGTGGATTTGTTTCTGGCCTCTCTGTTCTGTTCCATTGATCTGTGTGCCTGTTTTTATGCCAGTACCCTACAGTTTTGATTACTTTAGCTTTGTAGTATAATTTGGAGTATAAGATAATAAATTTGTGTTGTTTCAAGCCCTAATTTTACAATAGGTTTTTTACAGCAGCAACAGGATACTAATAACATCTGTAACCAATTCTCAGTTTATCAGCCTGCTTTATTCTGGGAGTTCCCAATTTCTGCTCATGCATGACATCAACTCCTGAGACTGAAAAAATAAAAACCTGGAGCAATAGCTCCCTCATCTTTCTACCATCGAACTGACAAAACTACCAGTTTCTGAACCCATCTTGTTTTCCTTCTTATTATGTTGGAAAAACTATCCCAACTTCTGTAAAAAGCCAATCTGTCTGTTTTTGTTTGCTCTCACCCTCT